CTGAAACCCTTTCCTCAGCGCCTCATCCGGCCGCGTTGGCCCGGGGGCACAGTGCGAGAAAACGGGCCGTTGCTGGCGCATGTGTTGGCGTTAACACCCCCACGGCCTGCACCTGCTTCGGACGGAGGGAGCCTGTCGCGTGTGGCCGGGCCCACAGCCTACCGGAGGTGTTCCGCGTCTGGCTGTGCTTCCCTCGGGAGCCGGAGCCTTATTGCAGGGGTGACTCCGGTTCCGATTGCCGACAGCCCGGCGTGCCTGGGGACAGGGCCCAGGTGCTGGTACCTGGGGGCACGGGGGTTGGGTGATGCGGGGTCGGCGCGTGAGCCCCGCTGCCGGCCTGAGCTGGGATCCCGTGCTCGGCAGGGCTTTAGGTCAAGGAGACTGGTACGTGCCGCAAGGCATACACTGTATGAATCCTGGAACATCTACCGCATTTGGGGTTCAGTTTTGGGAGTAGTCTGCAGGAGTTGATCACGTCCCAGTTCTGCGGAATCTGACAGATTTTTATTCCAAGAAACACTTGACTCGCAGGTAAAGCTTCCGAAGAATACCGAGTCCCTTCTTTTCTCACCTGCCCGCAGAGAAAGCACTGTGTGAGTCGGGGTGAGTTTTGAGTCCGTCCGTGGGTCGCTCTGTGGGCGGCAGTGCCTCTGTGCCAGCAGACTCTCCCTCACAGTGACCAGACCAACGTGTAAAGCTCCTGCCGTGTGGCAGAATGTGTGGTGAAGGGTTTCTGAACTTAATCACTTCCCTGTTTTACTGGCCATTACTAAATAATGGGGGTTTTTTTGCACTTACAAAGATGTTTCTGTTTTCTTCCTGCTTTCCTTTATTTAAAACCTTGATGTTCTTTTCATTTTGCTGCTAGCTGTGCTTGGAATCTCACACATGGAATGTGCTTGGAATGTGCTCCTCACCACCCTGTACTCTGTGCAGGAAGTTTGATTAAAGGGGTTTGGCTTTTCAGATCATAGTTAAATAGGCAAACTAATATCAGAAGAATATTCCCCCTCTTCTGTTGCTGTCAGAAATGTAGAAAATTCACGTGTAAAAATTCCACGTGCGATTTGGAGGAAGGTTAATTGCACGTGTTAACTACGACTGATGGCAGTACGTCGTTTCTCACACACATCAGTACGGTTTGGAAGCAAGTCTCAAACTAGAGTGCAGTCACTACCACTGCGCTTACAGCACGTGACTCCAGAGACCAGTGAAAAATATAGAAAGGGAAAATTCCTTTACTACTAGGCAATCCGGTAGTGGGATTTGAGGTACTGCAGGTTTATAGGGGCTCAGGGGATAACCAAATGAAGCCTGACCCAACATGTATTATGCTGGAAAGCCCGTGGTTTAGAACCTGGATAATTTCTGGCCCTATGCAAATCTCTTTTTGAGAGAGCCCCGCCATAAGAACCTTGCCGTCGCAGGGGCTCATCCTACAGGCACTCGCATGCGCATTCCTTTATTGCCAGGGTGTTCTGTTGAAATGAGTTCAAGTTTTTATAGGCTCCGTGCAGCAGGTAAATGACACAATCAGTGTTTTAATAAACAGCGTGTGATTATTATGTTTGCATAGTCATTTATTATGTAATCCTCAGTCTATACTTGTATGGTTTTTCGCGGTTCAGACCATTGTTTTCTTCGTAAACCTGCAAATTATGTAAAAGTACTCTGTCAGGCATTTGGTATTGCAGAGGGAGACGCTACTGAGCAAATCAGCTGAAGAAGCCAGTAGCTATTGAATTAGTGTGTTCTGTTTTTCAGTAACAACTACTAATGTGGTGGGGTGGTTTTTTTGTATTTGAGGGTAGCCGTGTAGTTCCTGACTCAGTAACGTCCTGTGACTTCTGTTGATCTGTTTCACGCTTTCTTGCAATTTGGAGCCAATTTCCTATCTCATTTTTTCCGGCTGATGCTGTTCTGTATCCATCTGTCTGCCCACTCGTCATAACTCTTCACCTGAATGTCCACATTCAGCTCAGTTTGGCAGAGGAAGCAGTGGTATAACACATATTCAGGTTGTGCATTTTCATTAACGAGTTAAAGAGGAGAAATTCTAGTTAGTGCCCCTGAAGAAGTATGTGTGAGTGTGAGATCAACACCTGGCTGCCGTGTTTGGCTTTCAGCAGCTAATCCGCGTGTGTGCGCTGACCTGTGCGCTTGAGCCGTAGCGCATCCATCGCTGTCGGCTCCTGCCCAGCTCCCAGTTAGACATCATGGGAAGGAGCTAGCACTTCGGGTAAGCAGAGTGCAGGAATGGGAGGGAACCAGAGGTGTCAGTTGTGAGGTGACATGAGAACCTAAGGGTTGGGGAAGGAGGTGCTGGGTTACTGACTCTGGGAAAAGGGAAGGAGCGAAGGTAGAAGTCCATAGGAGGACCTAGAGTTCTGGCCATCTGGCTGAAAACATAATTTTGTGATTAGTGGAATTAATGAATTGTAAACCTGAGGGACCAGTTAATATTTTCAAAATTCTGGATTTTGAAGGAAATATTATCTCTCACATATGAATTAAGAATTTCCATAACTTAGAAAATATACTGGGAGTGATTCTTAAATGTGGACTTTAAGTGTATGCTTAGTAACCTGGAAATGAGAGAAGAGCTGGGGCTTTTGTGGGTCTATATTGTACAAACAAAGGTACTTCTTACAAACTGAAATGATTGTAAAGTTTGAAAATGTGGCAGCACTGTTAGTAGGTTGCTTAACGTATGATTTTGACAGTGGTCAGGGCTTAATAACTTTATCACAGTTACTACAGTTATAACCTGAGAAGCATCATTTATCAGGTAAAAAGATGTATGGATTAGTTTTTATTGTGATACTGGGTAAAGGAGTGCAGAGTCTTTCCTAAATCTTCTTGTCACATAAGGAACTGTGGCAAAATTGAGCGTTACAGTGGTATGGTCCAGTTTTGAATCTGACTTCTCTAGGGTAAATACAGCTAGTGGAGAATTTTGGAATTAAGAGGGTATAAAAAAAGAGAATGTGATCATTCACTTGCATTTAAGGCAGTTTATACCATAACATCTTTTGAACACCTTGGAAATGACAAGTTCTGGGTGGTTTGATTGCTGATTTGATAGAAAATGGTTTCCTGAGTGTTTTGGTTTACATTCTTGGTATTACTAGTCAAACTAATTTCTCTTAAGAAATTTAGTATGTCATAATCTCTTTAAAATGAGACTCTATTTGTTTCTGTTGTCCTTACACTGAAGAGGAAGTGTGCCCTGAACAGTTTGCAGTCCCTGGTCTAATCAGTAAAATAAAGTAACACACCTTTAGGTGATTTTTTTCCTGATACAATACAAAGAATAGAAGTGTAGGATACTTTAAAGCAAAGCATAAGGCAGGGCAATGGTCTCTGTTTATACACACATCACATCACAAAACTTTATGACCAGTGTCTCTTCTCTTATCAGGGCGCTGCTACCTAAAGTACAGGTGTTAAAAGAGGATGAGGCCAGGGAAGAAATCCAAAGAAATCACTCTTCCTGGTAATTTTATGCTCTATAGCAACCAGCAATGAGAGTGTGCGCTAACATGCCCATAAACATAGTGCATGGTATCACAGCGTGACTTTCCAAAGCTTGTTAAGGGTGATGTTCAGATTTTATGGCGTTTCATGAAACTAACTCTGATACTGTAAGTTGTAGTCATTTGCATTACTTTCTGAAGTTTTGTCATTGCATGACTTCTGCTGAGGTTAAGGATTAGGGCTTTGAGCACATGTTTTTAACCACTGCTGTGCAGTCTCAGTAACCACTCTTAATTTCCTTCCTGCAGCCGAGCAAAAGATGTAACAATGCCAGCGAAGCTTCCAGTGAATTTTTTCTCCACGAGGTCTCCAGTCATTGATCTTTTTCGGGGACAATTAGACTATGCAGATCACCTCCGTCAGGATTCAGAAATTGTGCTGTATTTCTTCTACGCGCCTTGGTGTGGCCAGTCCATTGCAGCAAGAGAAGAAATAGAACATGTGGCCAGCAGATTGTCAGACCAGGTAACTCCAGAGAAGATGCAGATCTTACATGTGACCGGATAGGTTTTTAATCTCCAAAGTGATGTTTATTGGGGGTAGCTTAGCCAGTTGTCTGAATTTTAGTTTAACATACAGTGTTAGAATAAATGGAGAGAACCTGTGGGTCCTGCTCAGTTGTCTGTTATTTCTGCTCCTGAATGGGGAACTCTAAAGTTTCTTCTTGTAAAGTGTCCTCAGATGTATTCACCTGCCTTCAGACAGAAATTACAGGGAGTTTACTTCTTGTTCTGGGATCCATGCAGACACTGGCAGTCAGACAAGATTGCAGCTCTAGCACTGCTTTCTAGCAGTTGGTGACCTGTGAACACTGCACAGGTACAGCTGTCCTAAACCTCTGCTCGTTCAGCTTCACTCTGCAGAAAAAGTAATTAATGTGGATTATGACTATATTAGTAAATTTGAAAGATTTAGATTAAGAAGCTTAGAAAGGAAAGTGACCCGAAGATTGCTGTTGCAAAATGACCAAAAAAAAAAAACAACCTCTTGTGTGATAGAATTAAGGGGAATGGAACTAAATGGAGGGAAATTCCAGAAATGGAATACTGGGTTGAAAAGACACTGAAAGTAGCAGATGGAATAGTTTAGAGAAAATACACCTGAGATAAAGATGGTCACTGTTAAGTACTTGGTTAGCTGTGAATTTTTATCTGCTTTGCAGGTGCTGTTTGTGGCTGTAAATTGCTGGTGGAACCAGGGGAAATGCAGGAAGCAGAAGCATTTCTTTTATTTTCCTGTGATACACTTATACCATCGGAGGTAAGATTTCATACGTACAGTCTGGGTTTTTGGGTTGTTTTGGAAAACAAAGAAGGTAAAATTGTTGCATTTTGAAAATGTTATATTTATGGCTATAGTAAATAGTGGTAGAGGAGGAGATTCTGGGTGAAGATCGTCCTGTGTGCCACTTCGGTGTTGGGAAGGGCTGCAAATGTCAGCTAAATGACATGCTGTGTAATTCTTCATCTTTGAGGAATTTTTCTTTTCCCCATGCATCTCTGGAATTTCTGCCTCCCATGAAAAGTAAAGAATTCAGATTTATATATTACTTTCACTTGTCTACTTGCTCTGAGGGTGGATTAGATCAACTGGTCCCAGTTTGTGACAGCAGTGAAGTATGTACTTAAGGGCTACTGAAGTGAGTGGAGTTGAAGTGCGTATTTAAGTGGCACTATGTACTGAAGATTCTCTTCTAAATTTAAACTTTACACTCACTTTTTTATGCTCCAAATGTTGAGATGTCATTGTACTGAATTTTATATAATCTCATTTTAATTTTTTTAGTATTTGTATGTATGATTCTTTTTTTTATTTTCCTCCCCCTTTGTGTGGAGCAGAAGGTAAGGAGACACATCTAATGCTAGGTACAAGGGAGCTGGATGTGGTGTAGTTTATCACTTGCATTTTACTTGTGTACCCTAATCATGAACTGCAGCACTCTTCCATTACAGAGGCTGACGTTGTTTTTCGGGGGGGATTTATGTATTGAGGAGGAATAATCCTGATCTTTGTCACCTGAATGTGGAACAGACACAGGTGGCACTGGCATAATCCAAACTGCAGTAAAAATCCCAACAATCCCACTTAGATGTACATTGACTTAAAACTGAATTCATCTTGAAATTACGAGACATTAGATGGATACATTTAGGTACTATAAACAGAGTTGTGCCAAGATGAGAGATAAATTCATATTGATACATCATAAAGCCCCTAAAGGGCAATGCAACCCTCATGCCTGATATATTAAACCTCCAGTGTCGTTCACTGGGCATGTGACGTGTTGAAGCAGTGAATGTTGCTGTTAAGACAGAGGTTTGTAACAAACCAGGATTTGGAATAATCTAGTGGGCTCCAGAAGACCATTTCGAAGCATCTGAGTATAGGTATCTTGGCGGGAGTTTGAAGATTTTCAGAGTGTCTGTATGTATAAACTATATTAAAAAATGCATCACATTAAATTCTTCTGTGGGAATGGACTAATTCCTCGTGCTTTTTGTGTTTGATTTCATTTTGGACTGTGATGCGTTGTCCAACCTAATAATAGTAAAGCAGATGCGGCATTTCAGGGGCAAGAAGGAGAAGCTCTGGAAATCGTAGCCACGAGGCCCAGCCCACCTTCTGTTGTAGCACTACTTAATGTGGTGTGGGCTGTTTTATCCCATGGCAGCGGGAGAAACTGTAGACTCACTGAGTGTGTTTGTCAGCAGGGCGACTGGATTTGTCTCTGCTTTATTGAGTGCTACTTGTAAAAGTCTCTGTAAAAACACTGCACCTTTTCAGGTTGATACTGTTTGAACTTTCCAAAGATTCAAAAAAACCAAGTGAAAAGTAGTAGCATTTTTCAGATCTGCATTTTTAAGGCGCGTGTTTACTTTGGACAAAGCGGAAACAATAAGTGTATGATCATAAAGTGCAGGTATAAATTATATCAACTTCTCGAATGGGGCTCAGAGGTCTCCATCCCTTCGTCCCCACCAACACACTGCCCCTGCCCATAGAGGTGCATTAGGCTCGCTGCGATTTCTGCGCTGTGCTTCAGGCCTGGTGACACAACTCCCCTGTCCCTTACAGAAGCCACTATTAGTTAACACGAAGAGCAATTCCCTAGAGGCTGAGCATGCTGTCAGTGTAACTCCTCTCTCTGCCACCCCCAGGAGGGACTCTCTCTACTGTTAATTTAAGTCTTAATGTTTTATTATTTTTTTTGGTACTAGTTTTGGACCAATTGAATACAAAGGCCCTATGAGTGCTGTTTATATTGAAAAGTTTGTTCGCCGGGTGATGACACCACTACTCTACATCTCGTCTCGATCAAAATTACTAGATTTCCTCTCAAATTATGAGGTACTTGTCTCTCTTCTCTAGCTTTGCCGCTGTGGTTCAGAAAGAGTTTGATTTGTTTCACTATCAAAATTTGATCTGCTCCAAAGTAATAGTTTTATTTCCAGGATCCTGAAATCAGTGCCCTGTAAATTCATTAAAATCATAAAAATATGAAATGACAAATTCATAATGTTGCTTCCCTATACAGTGACTTAGTGATGCTTTTAATTTACAGTACTTTAGTATGTAGAGACAGCAGTCAAAGTTGTTACCTCACCGAAAAGTTACATATGAACAAGAAAGAAAGGAGAAATCTTTTTGCAAAAACCTTGCAGTCTAAGTTGGGAAAGCATTGGAGAAATTAATAGTTACTGCTTTATTTTTAAAGGAATATGAAAAGATAAGTCTGTTAAGTAAAAACAAATGTGAATTCAATTGAAATAACAACTCTTAACCACTTTGTATACTGTAACTTCATGATTTTAGTCCACTAGTACATTGTGTTTTATTAATTTTCAGTCTGTGTGTTCAGAGGTGCCGAGATTGGTAGCAATATTAGTGGGTTAATAACTTCTAATTAGACAATACGCGCTTACCACAGAACCATTAATCCCATTATAACTGTTCATTTCTATAGTGCACAATGGAGAAGTACCATAATCTTCCTGAACCCCAAGCTGTTAAAGCAGGACAGAAAACCTGATCAACAAATTGATGCTGTCGTAGTGGCCAGAGCATGCAAGGGGCTTTCTGGGGGTTGAGAGTGACGCAGCGTTGCACTTTGAGTTAGCGTGTGTTCTAACAGCTGGTGGTGCTGCAGGATGGAGCACGGTCTGTGCTGGTAAATGCAAGCTGCCACACTCCACCGGTGGTTACTGCACGTGAGTGCTGTGCTGTTCACGCTTCCATTTATCCCTCAGGTGCTATTCGGGGGTTTCCTTTTCCAGTGTTTTAAGCAGGGACTGTGAGTCAGTAGTGAGTTATGTGTCTTCTGTGCTGACACTTGCCGTGACCACAAGCGACTCTGTTGTCCTTTCACTGCTTCAGTTTTGCCATTCTAAACCTGTGTTATCTTTTTGCCTGCTATAGAGATTTGAAAACAGCTTTGGTTGTTGGTCTGTGTTATGTGAATTATCTCTTGGTATTCTTCTAAAGGTAACTAATAAGCATAGTGTCATTAGGCTTAAATTTGCTGTACAGTAGGATGTGCAATTCTATTGGGAAAAGAGTAAGATAACAAAAATTCTGGTTCCCCCATAAATTTGTCTTTTTTTTAATACTGCCTAGCAGTTGAACAAATAATCTTATTTCTATGTTCAAACTTCCCCCACCTTCCTGTGCTTCAAATTCTGTGGCTCCAAATGCCCAATCTTTGTTTATGTTCAGGGGGCCTACAAGGAAGCTGGGGGGGAACTTTTTACAAGGACCTATAGTGACAGGACAAGGGGTGACGGGTTTAAATTGGAAGTGGGGAGGTTTAGATTGGATATCAGGAAGAAGTTCTTCCCGGAGAGGGAGGGGAGGCACTGGGACAGGTTGCCCAGAGAAGCTGTGGATGCCCCATCCCTGGAAGTGGTCAAGGCCAGGCTGGATGAGGCTTGGAGCAACCTGGTCTAGTGGAAGGGGTCCCTGCCCGTGGCAGGGGGGGTGGAACTAGATGGTCTTTAAGGTCCCTTCTAACCCAAACCATTCCATGATTCTATGAAATGCACTAAGAATAGTGGCTGGTCTGTCCTGCTGCGCCACCGTCATTCAGGGCTGAGGTTATTTTCCAGACGGTGACACTAGGTGCTCAGTGTCCTCCCTGTGTAAAGTTGAGAAGGGGAGAAAGGGATACAAAAATAACAGCCAGCTGATGTGGTAAGATCCGTTCCTGGAACAGGGAGTTGGCTAGTGCAAGTCCAGGTGAGTGCAGTAAGAAAGGCAAATGCTGAGTGATCAGGAGGTGGTGTACAGAGAAGACCTAAGAAAGAGAGAACTGTATATGCAGGTGGATGGAGAGGGAAACATGGGCACAAAGGTAGGTAGTTTTAAACCAGAAATGAACACGTAGTTTCATCATTTTAAACAGTTAGAAATGTGAACATTTTCTAATGTTTTCTGTGCAAGTCGAGAACCTTTATACCTTTTGTATAAGAAGGTACAATCCAGGAGCTGACTCCTGTGTTGAAGAAGTGAGAAGGTTGAGTAGAGCAGGGTACAGGCCGTTCGTACATGGTACAAACTAACTGCTATTTTGAGAGCCCTGGCTAGTGTCTTCCTTTGATCTTTAATCTTTAATACGTTAAAAACGTAGCAGAAGGGAAAGAAGACTGTAAAGGATAGATCATTGGGTATTTTGACCACTGCTGCTTGATCATGCTTCTGTGATTTCTTTACTGAAAAGCTAATGACTTTTTAGCTTAGAATATTTTCTGAAAGATTTGTCATCATCAGTATCTAATTTTCAGCCCTGTGTTCTGCTAGGGAATGGGTTCTGCAAACTTATGTTAGGAGGATTTACTTTGGACTTGAAAAGTTGTGTTGAAAAGAATGTCTTTGTAGCCAATCCCCAGACTGCAGTTAGGCAGGGCCTGTTCTGTTCCTTGGCTCTGTCATTCTACATCGATACTAAGGTCTCCCTTACTAAGGGAGTGCACAGAGCAGTTGCTTGTCGCTCACTCCTCCTTGTTTTGTTTCTCTGTTCAAGGACAGCACTATGTGTCACCTGGAGTGTGCAATAGGTCAGTAAGTTATTAGCAGATGAGTCTGGGCGTCATTTGCAGGGTGTCATGTTGACCTGAAGTTCTGCTCTGCATAAATTCTCACGCTTAAAGAGCTGTGCACTCTTCTCATTCCCAGGGCATTTTGTTGTTGCCTGTCAATTTACTGATAGCTGGGACTTCAAACCCATAGTTGTCCTTTTCCATCTAATCTGTGAAGCTTTTGCTGCTTCAAATCTTGTGTTCAAATTCCAGTAGCCAGCTTTGGGCAGTAAAAGCATCTATCAGAGGAAACCTGAATGTTGAAATCTATTGAACGTGTTAGCGTACCTGAAGTAACAACTGCTGGCAAGGTACCAAGATAAACAATCAAAGCATTTTTTTGTAAATTGAACCACACCAAGAGACACTGCAGTCTAGCAGTGTTGTACCTTGTATTCAAATGCTAATTAGCATGGTTTTATTTCTAAGAAATACCAATGAACAGAATCCAGCTAAATGTAACAGCAAGTGTAATTAGTTATATGGTGTTATGTCTGCGGCGGCTCAACCAAATCCTGAGCATCATTAGAGGCTGTATTGATCTCACGAGGGCGCTCAAACCCCGTGAGAGAAATTCTGGTTGAAGACTCAAAAAGTTAAGATTCTGCGTTTTCTGATACTATTTAAGTGTGTTGGGTGGGTTATGGGTTTGGGGTTTTTTTTGGTGGTTGTGAGATGATACTAGTGCAAAACTAGAACTGGATAAGAATTAGAATGTAATTTTTGAGAGCAAGGGAAAAAACCCCATTTGGAAAGCAGTTAAAGTCTTGGAAGGTACATGAAGATCTAAGTTACATCAGGAGATTGATACAGTTTCTTTCTGGTACCTGTAAGTACCTATAATCAGAGTTCCTTTGTTATTTTAACTGCAGAGATGTAACAGTTTCATTTTAATACAAACTAGCATGTCTCATTCCTCTCCTGACTAAACCCGGCTACTAGAAATGGCCTCATCCTTCTGAAGCACAGAGGAGGAAAACACGCAGCTTCTGTAGTTAGACAGAAAGCTTCATTCACTTACGATAATTAAATGTGCCCAGGGAGCTCATCATTTTCTGGCTTCGGGGGAGGTGGGGGAGGAGTTGGTGTCTCTGTGAGGTAGCTGGCGTGTGTCTTAACATGGTGTCAGCTTTCTGCGTGGCTGTAGGTGTGTAGAAATGCTTCCTGAGCGTTAACCAACTGTGCGGGATCTGATCCAGAAGTGGGTTTGATTTAATAGCTTGCTCTTGCGTGGTGTGCTGTGTTGCCTTTGGTAAATGATGGTGTGAGAATTTGCTTTCAGTTCTGGATAGATTGTTGTTAGAAAACAGACAGACTCTTTCCTTGTAAGGAAATAAATATCAGTCAATAGTTTCTTTTTTGATTTCTACCATATAGATTAGTGGTATGTAATATTGGCTCTTCTGTTCCCCAGAGATAACACATTCCTTTTACTGTTCTCTTTCCTGTGTTCACAGATAAAATGAGTCAGGCATTGCCTGCCTGCACAAGTCTTAGATTCGGGGGGGAAAAAAAAAAATCTCCCTTATCTCAGTGCAATAGAGCCAAAACGTTAAAAAAATAAACACAAAATTGAGTAATAAAAGCATTTATCTAATTGTAAAAGCTAATTAGTAGCTGTGGGTTTTTTTTTTCTGTTCTCTGTTCCCATTACTTTGCATTTATTGGCTTTTAAATTACAGAGCTCTTTAATCAGTCATTAAATACTTTCTGCAACTCTTCTGAGTCAGCTGTAGTTTGATGATTCCCAATAACTTTGCACATTTTGTTCCTCACCCTCTCTCCCTTTTCTGAAGTGCTTATAGAAATGTTGAACTATATGAGCATCAGTACACATCCTGGCTGGCTGTCTTCGACTGGAAAACCAGTCATTTCTACCTGTAGTTTTCTGTCTTTTCTACTAATCTAGAAAAGGACATTTCACCTTAATTTGTTCCAATGTGTTTGGAACTTCTCGTTTAGGCTTTTGGGGAATTAGTCACTAATGACAGTACCAGGCAAAATATGTTCATTTTTTTAAAAGAAATTAAAAAGTTATATGTAAAACTCAATGAAAAAATAAAGCAGCCTCTGAAATACCAAATGAAAATACTTACGTGGGAATATATTTGCCACCCAAATGGGTGATTGGTGAGTTTGGAATTTTTTGTTCCACATCAATCCCTAGAATGCTCTTGCGTTGTCTACTAAATTCCATCACTTACTCTGTCCTGAAAGTTTATTAAGCCAGTTTGAGTGATGTGTTAAAAACCATACTTAATAATTTTTAATGGATTCTATTTTGCAAAGTTTAAACCCAAAACTTAATTGAAATTCTGGAACAAGAGGAGTTTAAAGACTCTGAGTCTCTGTTCCAAGTCTGCTTCTTCCAGATTCTCTTCCTGAATTGAATATGAAGCCATTCAGGCTTTGTAACTGGCAAAGTCAGTAAGGCATATTTAGGGATGAAAATTTTAAATTTTGAGTTGTCTGTTTGGGAATTTGAAGATCTTTAAGGATATGGAGGGAGGATATGGGGCTCTTTTGAAGATCTTTAAGGATATAGAGGGAGGATATGGGGCTTTTTCATTATTTTTGCGTAGCTGGTCTCTGACTCCTGCAGGATGTAGTGAAAGAGTTTACAATGACTGATAGCTTAATGTGATGATAAGTTGGCTTAGCAGTTCAAGTATTCACGCAACAATTCATATGTAGTTGCTAATTATGTGCAACATTGTGAACAATTAAAGTGGTACTGATTGTTGTTTATACTCTGAAAAATCACCTTTGATATTCCCATTCTAAAAGAAGTCTTTATTATGCTTACAGTTCTTAACGTTGTTGCTGGAACTGACTCATCTTATATTTGCAAAGCAAATATGAAGTGTTTTTAGTGAACTTTAATAGCTAACATGGGAAATATATGGTGTGAAACTTATGCCATAAAACCCCTCTCTCATACATAGCTTCTGAGTGACAACTTCAGACCATTCGGTCTGTTAATATTAAAATTTTTCTTGCAGCGTAAAGTGACTGTTCTTCAGTAAGTCTTTTCAAAATCTGTTGTGTGTTACTGTAGGCAAATAAATGCTGTGCCCAATAATTAACCCTAATTTTTATTATTTCAGCCTGGAGTTCTAGGATATTTTGAGTTCAATGCGTCACCTCAACCACCGGGTTACTTAACGTTCTTCACGTCAGCATTACATTCATTAAAGAAAGGTAAAAGCTTTGTTTTCATGATTTAAGGCATCTGTGAATGAGTTATGTATATGGGCTTCAGTAATTCTTTGCAATATTTTGTAACTTGGGAATTAATCCCATTTGAGTGTTTCTTGATGTTGATTTAATTATGAGACTGTCTTTTATTACAGTGTGAGGATTGCTTACCTAAAAGGCTTATTCTGTGATGGGCCATCACGGAATGAAGTATGTGACAGGCTGCTGTTCAAGGATACTTTAAGATACAGTTTCCTCAAAAACCTACCTGTGTAGCTGCAACCCATACAGAGCCATAATCAGACGAGCAGATATTTAAGTTGAATCCAGGAGTGTTTGTGTTGTGCAACGTTTGAAATGTCAGGTTCAGAGGCGTTAAGGTGAACTTGACGTTGTCAATGCCTAGTAACTGAGCTCAGCCAAGGGCTTTCCTGGATGGAAAAGCTGGTACAAGACAGCAGGACGAGAAGGACTTTCTCCCCTTCTTGTTCTGCATTAATAATCTAAAATGCAAAAGCCTCTTGCATTTAAATATGCAAACTTTGTATGTGATTAATACCCATTTTTGCGTCATAAATTCTGGATAGAACTTTCTCAAACTTAAGACTAGCACATTTTATAGATAATTCTTCCTGTTGGCAAATGAAGAAAGTTTATACCATTCTGATTTTTTTACTGTGCCATTGACTTGGTATATGATATAGAGCCTGTTCTCCTATATCGTGTTCTGAAATTTCCCTATTTATATGTTGGGACAGTTCTTTGCAACTAGAAGAGAAGCATTGTATCCTTGTGTGTAGGATACTTACAAATACAGAAACACTATAACAGGTATTTAAATAATGTCTATTTACTGTAAATGTACATCACCTAAACAGTCAATGTTCGTACCTTTTCCTTATATGTATATCTCATCGTGGCTTTTGAGATAACGTAACATGTAGCAAGGTGCATCTCTGATACCAGATTCTGTATTTAATAAGCAAATCAAGACATTGAATAGAGGAGGAACACGTTTGTTCCTGTTGCCTGCTTTTGTCATCTTTCTCCTACCTCACTGCATCACCAGTATTGGCAGATGCTATTCAGCAAGATTTCAGTGCCTTTACACAGCAGTGTTGTGTGTTTTGGTTTGAAGGTGGTGCTCTTAGGCTTGCCGGAGAGAAGTTCAGTGTGTATAATTGTATTTAAAGCCAGAAAATTTGCACTTTCAGATTACCTTGGAACAATACGCTTTGGCGTGATCACGGATAAACGTGTTGCAGAGGAGATCTCGTTGGTGCATTCAGGCAGCGTGTATTTGCACAGACACGTCAATACATCTCTTGTGAGTATTGCGTTTATGTTGCAGTGATTCTGAGGCAGGACATGGAGATTGAAGCTCTCTCATAGTAGGCCGTGAATAAGTGTTTCATGGAACTTTAGGATACGGGATGTTTAAGAACGATATTTTTGTACAGTAATACACGTTTTCATCTGCTGTTCACCAGATGTTAACAGTAGCTAAGACCCAGGTTGATTGTCTCGATCAAAACAAACCCCAAAAAACCCAAGCACCCCAGAAATTACTACACAAATACCTTTTCCTAAAGTTTCTACCCCTTTCAGTGGGTCAGAATTAGAAGGCTACTTTAATGAGGATATGGACAAAGATTTTGTGGAGAGATGGTAGGAATAGGGACAATGTGCATTTCAGTTGAAAGTTATGACATTACACTGATTAATTTGCATGATTTTTCTAATTTTATTGAAAATGTGTAGTAACACTTAATCCATGTGCCTTGTTTTCGGAAGACCAAGACTGAAAACACTGACTTCTGGATTTGCTATTTGACTTAGAAACCTTATGTATTCACACTGCTACCATAAGTGGAAACTCTGAAGTATTGTAACATGTATTTTATTCAATTGACACTAGGAAATACATGGATTTTCCAGGTTAAATTACTGCTAAATACATAAAACTACTTTTGTCTGTGAAAATGATTTAAGATAAACTTTCTGTAATTTATTAAAATGGCCCTAGAAGCTGTCAGTGCTTTTTATTATGCATTTCTTTTCCCCACATTCAGTAATAAGAAATACCAGGTTTAAATGCAGTCTTGATGTTTGGGTCTTAAAAGACTAATCTAAAATTAGTTAATATGGTGTGAGTAGTGGGAAAAAGTTTTCTAATACGCTGTAAATCAAGATAGGTGATGAGCTTAGAGACTGAGCTCTTTCACTTAAGAAGAAAATTTATACTGGTGAGAAAAGTAAAGAGTATTAAGATGTAGTAAAAGAAAGAAGAGCTTCCTTGGTAGAATACTTTTTGCCCGAAAGATTGTGTGTGTTACTATCATCTGATGAGCATTTGGAAAGATTTCCCAAAGGGAAAGGGTATATGGACCACTGCCAGCTTGCTGCATTAGTGCCGTTAAATTTAGGCATTACGGTAACAAAGCATACCATATTTGAGAACTCATTACTAAACCAAGTGAGGGCAAATCATATTATTTCTTTCCCCCCACTCAAGATTTATCCAGATGACATCATGAACTATACTGCTGAGAACATCTGCAAGTGGGCTCTGGAAAATCGAGAGATGCTCATACGCTGGCTGAGACCGCATGGTGGAAAAAGCCTCCTTCTGAACAATGAGCTGAAGAAAGGTCCAGCACTTCTCATATTTATACCTTACAATCCCTTAGCAGAAATTCATCCTCTTTTAGATGAAGTAAGTGAAATGGAGTTATTTTTAACTTCAAAAATACTAGAACTTGCTAACTCTAGTCAGGGTTCTGAGCTGTTCCAGCTGACATAGCTCAAATGAGAGAGCAAGAATGTATTCGAGGATTGCGGGACTTGTGTTCTGTCCACCCCATTCTATTTCTCCTCTCCTTCCATCCTTCCAGAGGAAGGTTATCCAAGGAAGAACAGACCTTTTATTAAACCAGACAGTGTTACTTGAAATACAGCCCAATTGAAAAACTATGGGAACTAATGTTTTTGTTACATCCTGTGCACTCCTTAGTTGCCCTCCAGTTTTCTCTTCCTCTGCCGTTAGTGCCGTTTCTGAACTGCCTAGGACAGGAGTTCATGTAGCTGTGCAGTAAATGAGATAGGGAAACTAACTTGGCTGAAAAACGATTTT